GGCCGCCGTATTCGTATTCATGAGCTCATTTCGGTCGCCTTGTAAGCGGATTAGATCGGTGACTGTGATTCGGCGTGTTTGCCCTCCCCGACGGCGGCCGCGCCGGTCACCCCCGCCGCCCGTGCGCCGCTGTATGCATCTCTCAGTTTGCAGAACGGAGCGGTACCTACAGAGCCCTCAGGGCACCCTCTCAGCTCGGTCGTTCGGCGCGGCGTACCGACTGGCCTGGGGCGCGTGCTGGTTGGCCGGGCCGCTTCGCCGCCTTCGCGGTCACGCGGTGCCTGACGCTCGCCCGTAAAATACTCATCCTGCCATCTGTTGAGCGACTATGGAACTACGCAGCCGGAAGAGCGGGCACGGCGCTCGGATTCCCCAATCACCATCCTTTACCGGCGGAATGGACAGTTTGTTACGAGCGGTGAAACTTGAGAGCCGCTTGATTAATTTTGGTCGGAAGTGCATGGGCTGCAACCCTGCGGTACTGTCAAGAATTTGCATAACAAATTATAAAATAAGTAAACAATGTATAATAAAACACATTATTATTTTACACGATATATTATATTCACGAATCTGCAGGAATGTGCTTTTTTTCTCGTGAAATTAAAGATATTTCGCTGACTCAGTTATTTCTCCGTCGTTCCGAAAATGCTCCGAGACTCAGCGTCGAGCTCCGAAGCCATTCGAAAATTGCCTCTGTTTTCGAACTGTGGATTGAGTTGAAAAGTTGTGACGAGTTTTTGTCAACTTCTCTCCTGTCTCTAATGGCGAGGGTCACGAAAAAGTTTGCGAAGTTTGATGGCATAACATCCAGAGATCGCTATTGGTGAAGGGTCCACTCAAATTATATATGCCACCACACAGTCGTGGGGCTTTCGTGCCTTATTAAAATCGTCATGCGTGCTATTACCGCTGATAAGGCAATCACGTCTAATGAGACGTTTCACAGTACGTTTACGCATCGGGTGCTTCAGCATGCGCGGGCCAGCTGAGTTTTTATCCCTTTCTGTTTGTCCCAACAACCTCACGGTCGATGGCAGGTATTGCGGGACCGTCACTTTGGCTGCTCGTTGCGTGATGTGTCGGCGCTAATTACGTTAGATCATCGTAGCGTCGGCTAGCGTGTAAGTGGTCAGGTCACGGGTCGGGTCACAGGTCTCAGGCTAGGTCAGGTCAGGTCAGGTACGGCAGGAGTCGGTGAAGTTGGGTCATTGCCGTTGTTGGCTAAATACATTGATGCTGACGGGGGAGGCTACTTATTCAAGTTTTGGATTAAAGTGACGAATTAGCTCCGCAATTGCGGCTCTACACCTTGAACAAACGCATTTTCTATGACCTAACTAGTGCAATAATGTTCAAAGTGGCTCCGTTCCCTTGATGTCAGTCACCCTTGCACACCTAACATGCACATAATTTTAAAATGCATTTCTTTTAATAACCCATTTCATTCCATCCAACATTCCGGTTTTTGTCGGCGGATTCTCCAGCGCTGACGCATTCTTCTCTGTCTGGCGTCCCCTGGGACGCTCCCTACCTGGCGCCGTTGGCACTTCCTGTGGTCTGTCCGCTGCGGGGAGCCCAGCTAACCCCCCAATTACCGCTCCGGAGACACAATGGCCGTGCCCTTGAGACACCGCGAGTCGGGCGCACGGCGCGGGTCGCGCCGCGTGTCGCTCCCGCGAGTGTCCTTAGAGCGGTACCTCCCGGGGCTCACCGTGACCAAATTGGCCCTCCACGCTCCCTGGCTGGCGCACGATCGGGCCCGGACGGCGCGGAGAGGGGATGATATGTGGAGCAGCGGTTGGATAGTGTGTGGCGACCGTTTTGAGGTGCAAATCGCCATTCAGCGCCGGCCGCTGTCGTCAAAGACCGCATGACACGGACTCGAGTGTCTGTCGCCGAGGGGGGAGGGGGGGGGGGGGGGAGGAGTGGCATCAGCCCGCCAGCTGCCGCGCCGGTTAAAACCCGGCGTGAATGCGGCCCGTTCTGCGCCACCGTGAACGGTCGATGGGTATTTTGTGTCGCGAACGATCAGCTAATATGCGACTGGGTCTATAGAGCCGCGCTGGCGGGGAAAGACGAGATGAAAGCGCCTCAGTGCGCCGCAGTCGGAGTCCCGCGCAGTGCGGCGACTTGATGGAGTGCACGTCGACGGTGGTTCTTCGGCGGCGTCGCACGTCAAGCGATTAGAGGTCTATAGTCAGAAGCGGGACACTTTGATACCAGGGGATGAATACGAGGCCCCGTTGAGGCCGGTTTGTGGACGTTTGATGAATCGTTATTGGTTAGCTATGAAGAAGACGAGTATCGTAAAGAGGGTTATGCTGGTTTGATGGCGATGAGATCAGCTATAAAGTGGTTACTGTAAAACGTCTGGTAGTTACGGAGCGAGCGAAGCGAGCGAAGTCTTTCCTTAGATTAACGGAAATTTCTGAGTATGAGCGGCCGGCCGGCCGGCCGGCCGGCCGGCCGGCCGGCCGTGCGGACGCTTTTGCGAGGCTTATATCTCAGCAACCACTTGACCGATTTACACGCGGTAATTTTTGTAGGGTAGCTTCATTCCTTCTACCAAGTATTGGACCATTCCCGATGCATATAGGTGACCCCTTATGCACGTGCCACGTGCAAAACGAAGAGGTGTCAGTTTTGTAATTGTTGCAATATCTCGGTAACTACTTGGCCGATTGCGCTGAAAGTTGGTATGTAGGTAGGCACCCACTAGGCACTGCATATCCATGTGCCAGAGTTGGGGTGCTGCTGCACGTGCGCACGTGCAGGGGTCGTTTCCAGATCTCGAGAACGGCTGGACCGATGGCGCTCAAATTTGGTACACGGTTAGGGACCAGTTAGTAGGGTGCCGTGCACAAGTCAGTTGGGACCCATTTTGCACGTGCGCACGTGCAGGGTGCCGCTCCCAGATCTCGAGAACGGCTGGGCCGATTGTGCTCAAATTTGGCACATCGCTAGAAACCGGTCATTAGGGTGCCGTGCACGAGTCAGTTGGAGGTGCCCCCTCGAAATTTCGCACGTGCAAGACTCAACCCCTCGCTCGCTCCGTTAGTCGCCCCAAAAGGCGCTATACTGGTTTTCAAAGATTATCCGATTAAATGAGCTATATGAAGTATGAAATCATCTCGGTTAAAGAAGAGTTTCGGGCGAACAATGCTCTTTGGTAAATTGTCAATTTTAGGAGCTGATATTAGTATTGCTTACAAATTTACTCTTAAAGGCTGACAGCTGTGTGCCCACATAGCCTGTTTCGTGACCTTCTTGTTGATTTCAAGCCTCTTGTGACAGCAAAATGACGGAAGTCGGAAGGCAAAGCGGCTGCGGGATATGCAGGAATGACTCATAAGCTGCAAGTGGGCTGCTTTTGCAAAACGTGCATAGCGAGTGATAATCATGGGAAGTGTCCGTAGCGGCCCCAGCTGCACGGCCGAGCGCTGCTGGACGGAAGTCCAGACCATCTCGACTACAGATGTGATGTCCCTACAGTACACTGGTCACTCGGGGGTCACCCTGTCCCCTCCGACAACCCCTTCCCCTTCCCCGGCCCCCGACTAGATGACAATCAGCCCCTGCAATTTCCGGCACCATTTCTACACAGGGTCAGAGTTCAAAACCCTCCCCTGAGTACCCCTCCCTGCTTGTTAGGGCCGGTGACACAAAGCGACATGCATACAGACGGTGACGTAAAAAAGCTGACTCATCCAGGTGCACGGCTGAGAGATCGTGCAACATTTCTTGGCTGGCTGCTCGCTCAGAACTCGTTAGCATAAGTGGAACTACACTACGCCAGGGTGAAGTGTTGCTTCTTGTGGTCGTATTTTTTAGAGAAGTGTGACCACCGTGTGCTTATGCAAATGACGATTAGGTACAGTGCAATTTATCATTAAAAAGCGTAGCTCAACTTAACAGGGAAATTATTGCAAAGCTATTGTTTCTTCACTCTCCATTTCACTGTTTTCATCTTGTGCTCTTTGATCACTAATTCGTGGAAAGGGACATTTCCCATCTTTGACGCTTATTTACAAATTGTGTTGGCCCACAGATTGAAACTCAGAGTTTACAGCTCATTAGATGGACCAGTGTACTTATTTATGATACAGTTGGTATTGGGTCTATCGTCTGGTTAGCAACAGTTCGATGAGACGAAAAGTTACGCTTATATTCCAAAGCCACCAGTCGTGTGTGTGTGTGTGTGTGTGTGACCCATCCTAGACTTCTCAGACCCGTATAACTAGGCTGTATCAGACCTTTTCCAGACCCCCGTCAGACCCGTGCCAGACCCGCTCTGGCCCGTGTCCACCCCTTGTCGGCCCGTGTAGGCGCGGTTTCGACCATTTACCGGCTGAGTTCACCCGAGTTGCTTCCCCGACCGCCGACCGCCGACCGCCGACCGCCCGACCGGCCGACCGCCCGACCGGCCGCCGTGATCGCGTTACCGTAGCACCGATCCGGTCGAGTGTTTACATCCATCGGCGCCGGTGCCGCTCTCCGGCTTCCCGTGTAATGAGCCGTGCTCTCATTGCGGGTGGCACGCCGGTCGAGCGGTCCGAGCGCCGCTCTATTTTTCCTCTTTTTCGTCTCCCTCCCTCGCCCTCACCCTCTCGCTCGCTCCTTTAGTCCCGCTATTTCGTCTGCGAGCTCCACAGAGGAGCTCACAGCGGGCGATGCTCCCGCGCTCTTTCCCTGCGCTTTACCAGTGCTCTATCCGACTTGGTGTTCCCTCTCACTATGCCAGCACATTGGACTTAATTTGGTTAGAGCTTGGGCTTAATTAGCTAGATAGGTCTTCCTATATATGCTGCGTCAAAACTTGTTTGTGCGTGGGCAGTCAGTCACTTCGCTTTAGATGGAACAGAATTTGAGAATATATGCTATGCTCTGTGGGTTGTATGCCCTTTCAAGTGGCTATGAATTCAATCTGGCCATTGCTAATCCAGTGCTCGGTTGTTTGTGACCTCACCTGACCTATGTTTGACCTTTGTGTCTGACAGGTGGTGAAGTGCGGAGGCGGCGGCGACGACAAGATGAGATCCCCGTCTTTCAGCAGAGGGTCTATACTACGAGAAACGTCACTGCCAACACGCGCAACAATACTCGACTCATTACAGTAAGTACCGCCCGATTTAGAGCTGCCTTTCGGATGTGAAAGCAAAGGATAGTGTAGCTCAATATGAAACAAATCAATTGAAACTAAAGTGGTAGTCAAGTCGTCCCACCGACTAACTTCAGACACAAACCTGGTCTGGTAACGGCGATGTAGAATGGGCGCAGAAAGGATCTCTCTCTCTCTCTCTCTCTCTCTCTCTCTCTCTCTCTCTCTCTCTCTCTCTCTCTCTCTCTCTCTCTCTCTCTCTCTCTCTCTCTCTCTCTCTCTCCCTCTCTCCCTCTCTCCCCCCTCTCTCTCTCTCTCTCTCTCTCTCTCTCTCTCTCTCTCTCTCTCTCTCTCTCTCTCTCTCTCTCTCATCTGACCACTCTTTTCGGACCTGCCACTCGTGTGGACCACCATGAAAAATGGAGCCTGTCCACTTCATCCCTGGAGCCAAATTACGGCCCCCTGAATAATAAATAACTACACCTTCCGCCTGGGCTAAGACAAAGTAATATTGCATCGTGACGCTTTTCCTGGCGCCGGCAACCAGGTAATTGATAAATATTAGAGCCCAAGCATATGAGTCTTGAGGTAATGTGAAGGGTCGGAGAGCGTATTTGCCGGGCATGAGGTCAAGGAATGCGGATTAATCTTCCATAACCTGTTCCTTTCCGGTATTCCACTGCCCTATAGAGGGCTATTCGTTTTCATCAGCTGAACATTGCCAGTGTAAAGGCTTATCATAGACTCTCGTTACCTTAGACTTGGGTTATTTCCTTATTCGTTGCCTCCACTGCCGTTTTTTCTTGTGTTTGATATCCGACCATCTGGCGCGGCCGATTGACGTGACCGGGGATCTGGAACCGAGGCGGGTTTGAAGGCCCACCACCGGAACTAGGCCCCGTCGGTGTCGTGATCCGCCGTGACCGCCGCGTGGGCCTCTATCCGCCGCCGGGAAGCGTTCAACGTCCACCGCCCGCGTGGTTCATCACTCACTGCACCGACAACCGTCAACCGCCGTTCGCCATCCACTGGTTGCAGTTCACCGTCCACTGTCCACTGCCTTCAGTTCACCGCACCGTCTTCTGTCTTCTGTTCACTGTCCAGTGTCCACTATTCACTGGCTACCGACCACAATCTTCCGTCCATCGTCTCCCTCGTTCAACTATCACATTCACTTGGTGTGGTTTAGAGGGATAGAAAAGGTCGAGCAAAAATTCAGAGTCGTCTGAGAACGGTTTGAAAATGGAGCGCGGGAAGTCTGGCTTTTCAAGGCGTTATTAGGTACACTGACAAACAGGTTTGTCAATGGCTGCGAATCCTGTCGTATTGCAGAGTCGGACTCAGACATCTTTACCCACGTTTACACCACATTGCCTCCGCCTGCGAGGTGGTGTCGATGGTAAACCTCGCATTGAGACTCAATCTATCTCAGTTCCCGGGAGGCTTTCGTCCTGCTTTTTGAAAATCACTTACGGAAACCGATTTATTTGGATGAAAGCGGTGCGGTGATTTACCAATTGCTACGTGTGATGTTGCGGTAGTTCCATTTCATTCCCCGCTTCTGATCTTTTCCTATCCTTCCATTTTCTCCTCCTCTCTCCCTTCCTCCCCCGTCGCCCTTTCCCCACTGGAAGCTAATCGGCGGCACCATGTCGAGCGGACGTCGCGCGATTCGTCCGTGACCGCTAAATCGACGACACGCCGAATATCCCTGGGGCGACGAACGCACCCGCAGACGATGCCGAACGCAGCCGTGGCTGGTGCCGAACGCGCTCAAGGCTGCACTGCCGAACGCAGCCGCAGACGACGCCGAGCACACCCCTGATGCTTGGGATCAGCGGCAGTGCGTCGTGAAAAGGCTGCGTCGCTCGCATTCGACCGCCGACGGCGACGCATTGCCGGGTTAACGATGTGAGCTGTACTCATAGCGGGATGCTGGCAACGATATCATGTTTTTCGCGGATGACTGAGCGATCAAACGCAATCGTCTGGCGATGATTATTTTCACAGCCGAGTGGCGTTCGGTTTCATGAAGCGATAACCGCCATCGGAAGGATCCGCTTTTGCCGCGCTCATAAACCTGATCGGTGCGGATTTGCGGAAGGGGTTGTTGCGGTTCTGGTTGCCACAAACTTCCATCCGAAATTCCGAACAGTTTATCGTCATATGGGTGATAAGCTGCGGTTATCGTTATGAGATGTGAGCATAGTTACGGTGCGGTGTGCGGAACGGGACGGTGAGTATATGATGCAGTCTCGATCGAAGGGTGGATGTAAACAGTTTTGCTGCTTTTCTACGTACAGCGGGACGGCATACGAGTGTGTTTGGCGTTGATGCTTTTTTCCGAGACCAACCAGATTTTACCAGATTGCGTCAATCTCGAACTGTTTATTTTGTTTTTGATTAGCGCTCGAAGACTGGACTGTTTCCACGCAACGACCAGTGACACATGCTCGTTTTTATACCGATAACCGAAGCTAGTTATACATGCTTTCGCAATAATACTGCTTGGCGGTGTTCTCTATCAGCATGCGTTGTGCGTACCGAAGTAGCTTCTACTTGGTCGCTGGACTCTTCTCTGGTCTTTCTGCGACGCGCCATTCCTCCCTGACAAATGTTTTGACAAAGGCCAGTGTTGTTAACCGATCACGGGATCTAGTTTGCAAACGGAGCGTGTCTTTTTGCTGTCTCCAAATATGATACCACATTATGACAAAGGAACTTATCACTGCAAGGATAAGAACGACCTACCTAAGCGTATGCAGTGCAATAGTGTGTTACGTGGGGGTCTGACATTCTGGATCAAACACACTGCAGGCTATCCTTCGCCCTGGACCGCCCCCCGTGTCCCACCTCGTTCCTCGTCATTGCTGGTCTCTTGTCGCATGTTTCTTGTATTTTATCCCGTATTGTCCCGTGGCCCGTCTTTTTGTCCCGTGTCTCACCTTGTTCTGTATCCCATATGTCCCTTGCCTCGCATTATCCGTTCCCTTTTACGTGCTGCCCCCTGCCTCGCCTTGTGCCGTGTCTCTTATCCGTGTTGTCCCGTGTCCCATCGTGTCTCATGTCTCGTCTGGTCTCCTGTCTCGCGTTTTCAAGTCTCATCGTGTCCCGTCTCCTGTCTCGCTTCTCGCCTGTCCAGTGTCTCATCGTGTCCCTTGTCTCGCGCTGTCCGGTGCCCCACTGTCTCGAGTTGTCTCGTTTTTCCGTCGTCCTATGTCTCGTCTTGTCTCTTATCCCTTGTTGTCCCGTGCTCTAGCTTGTCCGTCCCGTGCTGTCCCACCATATCCCGTGTCCCACCGTGTCCCGTTTCCCACCGTGTTCCGTGTCTCTCTGTGTCCCGTGTCTCGTCTTGTCCCGTGCTGTCCCACCGTGTCCCGTGTCCCACCGTGTCCCGTGTCTCTCCGTGTCCCGTGTCCCACCGTATCCCGTGCTGTCCCACCGTGTTCCATATCCCACCGTATCCCGTGTCCCACAGTGTCCTGTGTCTCGCCGTGTCCCGTGTTCCACCGTATCCCGTGTCCCGTGTCTCTCCGCGTCCCGTGTCTCTCCGCGTCCCGTGCCCCACTGTGTCCCGTGTCTCGCCGTGTTCCATGTCCCACCGTGTCCCGTGTCCCACCGTGTCCCGTGCTGTCCCACCGTATCCCGTGTCTCGCCGTGTCCCGTGTCTCGTCTTGTCCCGTGCCTCGCCGTGTCCCGTGTCTGGCTGCGCGCCGATGACAAATTAGCGCCGGCCGCCATTGTTTAGCGTCGCGGTGCGTCCGGCGCGTCCGGCGCGCGGCACCGCCTCAGGGCCCGATGAATCCTCGGTTTACTGTCGCCCCATTGTGTGCCCGGGTGTGTCGGAGGTGGCAGCTTTGTCCCCACACAGCGGGATGGCCTGCCCCCTGCCGCTGCGGGGACCGTCTATAGCCGCCGCCGCCGCCGTGAGCGGCTGCAAGTACGGACGGCGCCGATGCGGGTTCTGAAGAGACTGTGACGGCCACCGGTCTTGTTTCGTGGTATGGTGTTGCTTTGGGATTTGGTGTATCGGTTGTGAGTTGTGCCTGCTGCTCCCGTGCGATGCGATTGATTGTGTTTGCGCCCGGTGATGGTTAGCCTTGTGTGGTTTTTGCCGTCAAGTTACTGCTAGGCAATTCGGCACACATTTATGTTGTGAGGAACGGCTTTTTCATACCTACATACATGAGGTGTGGTGTGCTCCAAACATTTGATTAAAGTGACAAATGTTCAATTGCCCGACGCACTGCTCATATTCGTGAAATAAGAGAAAGTAATATAAAGACGAGTTCGTGGGTTTAAGACCTTTGTTTTCTTCCAAGTGAAACCTCCAATTTTTGCGTCAAATTAGTCAGCGATCAATCGTGGTAACATTTCGTGACTTGTTTTCCATCCACACTGCACCAAAATTGCTGTAATTTATTGTTAAATAAGCCCGGTTATAATGCTGCAAAATGTTCTTTATTACGTACCAACACGTGAATTCGCGTTATTGTAATGCAGAATGCGCGCGGATTTCGGTGGACCCAAACATTTCTTGGATGAGGTTTTTAAAGCGCACGACAAAACCCGCAAAAATATCGTTCACATATGCTGTTATTTCGTAGCCTTGTCTTCTGGTAAATAGCTTTGTTGTAGCTTTGGTGACGGCGGTGACGGGACGATTGCCTGGCTCGGTGGCGGTGGTGGCTCAGCGGTGGAGAGGAGAGGGGAAGAGGTGGGGTGGTGACGGGGGAGATTGTGTCTGGAGGAGGTGGGGGGAGGGGGCGTGGGGAGGAGGGACTGACGGCGGCTCGCAGACGGTGAGGATAGCCGGCGGCGCCTGACGGTGTGATTTTTCACCCGTTCACATGGCCTTCTGGATATCAGAGGTCGGAAGAACAGTCATCAGTCAGGGCGAGTTTGGGTCAGTGGAGGTGGGGGATAGGGATGGGAGAAAGGTCGCCAGGCGGCTGGTCGGCCCCACGGCCCACGGGTGCCGGACCATGAGAGCCAGGATAAGAGGTAAAAGGTTT